CTTTATTTTACAGTTAAAATATATGTTTATCAAATAAAGTCTAATGTTACAACTAATCGGGGATCCCTTTAATACTTAAGTACAAAAAAATAACAGATACTTCAATACTTTTACTCAAGTAATATTGCTAAAGGAGACGTTAACTTTTACCAAAGTAATTTTTGGTAAGTTACTTGTACTTTTACCCAAATATCACTTTGTGGTACTTTATACAACACTGCATTAATGAGAAGCCAATAGACTAAACATTCAGAAACAGCTCTATGCTAGAACACCTTATTAATCTGAGCCATAATCCTGGAAACAAAATGACAACACTTTAGGTTATGAAGTCAAATTGAGCCTGTTAAAATGTGATCCATCCTCTCAGGCTTCAAATGTCTACAAGTTCATAAACTCAGCTCKTCCCAGCAGCTCTCAGCAGGTATGACCTGGACTTTATTAACAGTCGCTTCGGTCCTAAAGGACCTTTTTTTATGAGGCTTGAAAGAGAATGGCTTGTCATTTTCAGGACATAAACTTTTGTATTTTCCTTTTATTTGAACAGTCAATGAAAGTGGTGTTACTTTTTTTAACACAGGCAACAAATAGGTTTCCCACTGATGGACAAGTTTTTTTATTTTTCACACCATTTAGGTAGTTACCTATTTTTTCATCCATACAAATACAGATTAGTTGTTAAGTTCAGCTTCAACACAGTTCTGAGAAACAGGTGTGCATGGTGAGTGACCCCAGCTGGTTGTATCAATCAAAAGGCCCCTATATCTCTTCCTTGTCCCACTGCAGCTTCTCTCCTTCCGCAAAGCGTGAATAAAACAACCCACATTTCACGGCAACCTTGCAGAGTTAGCCTCCGCACTGACCTGAGCGTGCAGGTGGACGTTCGCGATGCGATTCAGGGCGAACTTGTARCCCTCGACGCGATCCTCGTTGATGTAGGTGACGGCCAGGCGGGAGAGCTTCTCCACGGCCTTGTCGTTGCAGGGAACCGGAGCGAGCTCGACCGGCATCAGCAGGAAATCTTCCCCGTACACGTGCGGGCTGCGGAGACACAGCAGTGGAATTAGGATGGAAAATACCCCGACGCTCATGGTGGCGGAGGTTTTGGAAGGACACTGACAAACAGAGCTGCTCGGATGTGAAATTTGCTCTCTTTTGTTTGCCTTCGATCCCCAGAAATTGACTTTTGGAACGAAAACAGGCGAGAACAGGACGGGGATGTTGAAATGAAGCCAAGGACAAAGTTTATTTGATGACAGAGGGTTAATATTTGTGAATGAATTTTGCCTGTGGTTCATTAAACTCTCCGGACCGGACAGAGCGAAGGTCAAAACTGACATTTATGGTTCTCTTTGCAACCATGCTGTAGATTTAGGGCTGTTTCACTGTCAGTGTGGGAACTCAAGATGTATCAGGTGTTTTATGTGGACAAACTCATTAGATTAATGTTTCCCAGTCCTGGTCCTCGGGACCCCCTGTTCTGCATGCCTTTGATGTACTCCAGCTCTATCATACCTGGTACAAAAGTATGCAGCTGTGTGATGAAGAGTTGACAAAAAAAATAAAAAAATAAAAAAATCTAATTGTCCTAAATTTAAAATTTGTAAGCAAATTTTATTAATAACTGCTAATTACCACATGTTAAAAGACAGGTTAAAAAGTRTAGGCTTACATAAAACTGAATCAGGTCTCATATGTTGGTTACTGGATGTTTTAACTACCAGATCTCAAAGTGTCAGAGTCAGTGATGTTTTATCTCATGCTTTGCTCTCTTCCACTGGTTCTCCGCAGGGTTGTGTTCCGCAGGGTTGTGTTCTGCCCCCCCCCTTTTATTTGCTTTGTACACTAACATGCGTCAGAGCCTGTTCGCAGGACGGCATATTTTAAAGTTTGCTGACGATTCCGTCACTGTGTCTCTTTTAAATTCAGATGACCCATGGCCCAGTGGTGTCGCATTTTATTAACTGGTGTAAGTCRTCCTTYCTAGACATAAACACAGACAAAACCAAAGAAATGATTATTGACTTCAGGAAAAACGAAAACACYATCTCTCCTGTGTACATTAACGATCAACAAGTTGACGTTGTGGAGGAATATCTGGGTACTGTATTTTTTTTTCATCGAGCACACTTCGTACTAAAAGCAGCTCAAGGTACTGTACAAAATTATGCACAATAAACAAACCCACAAAAAAACAGCAACAACAACAATACAATAAAAACAATCATATAAAATGTAATGATCAATTGACAACAAACTCTCTTTTGATAAACATGTGGACACTGTATGCAAGAAAGCCCACCAACGTACGCACTTTTATTGTAAATTAAGGAGTTTTAACACACTAGTTTTATGAGAATGTTTTATTGCTGTTTTAGTGAATCTGTTCTTACTTTTTCTTTTATTTGCTGGTTTGGGCTGTTGACACAGAAAAACAAAAACACATACACCATATTGTCAGTCTTTGCAGTAAAATTGCTAATGTCCTCTTAAATAACATCACTACTCTCCWTAAAAACAGRTCCTTGAATAAAGCTCAGACAGTTTAAGCTGAGCCTAACCAAAAYCTCTTCACAGAGTTTTCTCTTTTACCATCAGGACGCAGATTTGCTGTAAAAGGATGTCGAACCAACAGATTTAAGAAGTCCTTTTTACCTGCTGTTATTATCATTTTAAATACTTCTTGTTGATTGTTGTGTGTTTGTAGTTTTTACGCCTATACCATGATGGTTTTTATGCTTTTTTTACTGTATTTGTGGTTGATGATTGTTTTTTTTTTTCCTGCTGGCTGTGAGTGACACAAATTGCCCCATGGGGATATTAAAGATGACTTGACTTGTGTTTTTATACCTGCAAAAACAACCATGTCACCTTCAGTTGTTGTTAAAATGTTGTTTATATGTTTAAATGGAAAAGAAACTTGACTTCTCATCATATCTGTTTCTAAATGCCTTGAAATTAGCATATGTCTCTTTAAGAACCGCCTTCTGCTTCTGTCCCGCCCATTTCAGCACGGGGTGGGTATATGCTCTGTGATGAGGAAGTTCAGCTTGGAGACACAGCCCAGAGGAGGAGTCGATCCCAAAAGGCGGTTCTAGTCCCAACCAGTCGTTTTTGCTCCCCTGCCTGGCTGCATCAGGRCACTACAGGATTTCTCAAATATGCATGAATGAGTCAAAGTAAGACTTTGGGCATGTTTTTTATGAGAGTAAAACATTATAACATGATATAAAACTCAAAAAAGTTGATTTTACATGATATTGCCCCTTTAATTTTACACTAATCTAAAATCAAAGTCTTTAACCCCTTTAACTCAAGCCACCAAATGGGTTTTTGCTGGATTCAGCTGAATGTTTTGTTTACACCGAGCGCTTACCCACATTTCAGAATCACAAACCAATAAATCTGGAAGACCACTGGAGTAAACTCTTTAAAACTGCACCATTTACCAGAGTTCAGGATGACATTTTTTAAARGGAACAAATCACGCAAAATCCACTTTTTTTAGACGTTAAATACATTTTGTTGCGTACTTGGCRTCTCCAGAAGTGCAGAAAAGTTTAATTTAGTCTCTCAAGGTGCTGCGCGGATATCTTTATATTCTGTTTTTGTGCCGCTATATAGTCGTAAACCCCTTTATCAAACTAGAATGGACTGATGTGGAAGCTGGAGGGGGGCGGGGTTTAAAGAGACTCAGGAAAGGGGTGAAAGAGGGGCTTGTGGAGTTACAATAAGGAGGAATTCAGACCAAAGCATTGTAGTTCCCCTTTAGACCCCCAACTGAAGGATTTAAATGGGAAAAAGAAAKACTTWAAAGCATCATATGTCTCCTTTAAAGTTGAGAGTAAATAAATTCCATACCAGCTTTATTTATASARCACTTTAAACACCCAYAGGACCAACATGCTATACACAGAATAAAACATTAATTTACTCATACAATCAGTAAGATCAAATAAAAACATAAAAAAATTCAACACTGCAACTTGTGTTCAAAGACCAAAGAGAAGAGATGGGATTTAAAAACAGACAGGGACGACACCTGTCTGATGTCAAAGGAGGGTCACCTCTGAGCTTTATCTTGGGCACAGTCAGGAGCAGCTGATCAGCTG